TTTTTTGCATACAGGTATAACAGAATAGCCTTAGTGTAGTTGTTGTTTTAAACTTGAGTATGAACTTATACAAAATGCAGCAAGATATTTAAAAAACAGTTTTGTTGATTAAAAAACACTATATCGGATTCATATCGGTATCGGCAGATATCCAAATTTATGATATCGGTATCGGACAGTAGTAGCAACATGAGTAGATTAGTAGTAGACTGTAACTTAGAGCAGGACATTACTTCTGACTGATCAGAATCCTAGGGCTCTTGTCCAGTTGAGTTCATTTATCGCTTCTTCTGTGACTTGTGAAGATAATTGTTTGCTTGTCCTTCAGACACCTGCATCAGCTCATTATTGGAGGCTGCACTCTCTGGTAATGAGGAGCAGAAACCCTTCGACTGCACACTGCATCCTGACTTGAGTGTCTTGGTGGATTTGGCTCTGGGTTCCTCTAAAGAACCTGCCAACAGCCTTTGGATCAACATGCATGAGTACGCTATTGGCAAAGGTTTGCATCTGTTTTGAGTATATACAGAATCCTACCATTTCTTTAATGCAATTAGCTTTACAGGTATATACATTCACTGACTGCACTGTGGATTTTGTTGCAGACTGGGACAATGCATCTCTCAGTAATGAGACCCTATTAGACACTGTGTCCAGGTTTGTGTTGGCAGCCTTACTGAAGCACACAGGGCTGCTGGGCCAAGCCTGTGGAGAGGGCAGGTAGTACAACAAAATACACCTTTTAATATATGGCATGAAGCATTTCCATACTGTCCCACAGTACCTGTCTAAAGGAAATATTTTCCTATCAGGTATCAACCATCTAAGTCCCTGGCAGAAGTCTATCGCGGTGTTTTTAAGGTACGAAACCGCTTACTAGCCTGTAAGAACATGGACTTCATCCAGACACGATCTTCTTCTCGTGAGAGGAGGGTAAGTAAACAAAGCTTCTTTTTTTTTTAGTTTTGCCTCTGCACACCACTATTTAAATAAATCAGTGTGTGATTCAACAACAGACTTTCACCTTTAATTTAAGGGGTTAAAAAAGTGTAGCACAAACTGTTTAGGAACAAACCAACATAATTTCAGATATAAGGGTTGATTTTAATACACGGGTGATGGGTCTCTCTGCCCTAACTTTTGTCTTTAGTAACTGAAAAGTATCTTTTGTTGGACTGAGATCAAGTGTGTGATTGATACCATAAACACAACGTTGCAAAATGAACAACTGTTTTTTAGCACAATCAGCTTTACAGCTTCCTCCCTTTGTGCTTTATGAGATTGGCACGGCTGAGGGTGGGAGAACACATCTGCAAAACGCTGTTCCAATGCAGCACGTCCACTCTCTGCGCCTGTGTGAGATGGTTATTACAATGGAAGGAGGCAGGAATGTGGGAATTAGGTACCTCTGGCCCTATCTCATCTCTCTCTTGTGATGCCCTGGTCAGTCAGTATCTGCAGACTCGTGCCTGCACCACACTCGTTGCAGAAATGGTGCGCAGAGGCACTGCTTCAGGATATCGTATTGCATAAGCCACCAGAACTAATACAAAGTGATATCCCTGTGCACTCCGTTGAAATGGCCCGACGAGGTCCGTGCCAATGTGAGCTCAAACAGGACCTCTATTAATGGTAATGGCGACTCCGAGCAGGACGCACACCATCGGCGTACATTTGGGGAGCAACACCCTTCACTTGGTGCGGGAGTATGAAAAGGAATCAGGGAAACTAGTGGATTATAGGAACCATCTTCATTTTAACGAAGATGCAGACAGAACAAGGTTGTTCCTAAGAGTTTGTGCCTTGGATCCACTGTCAGGGGATACAGAGTTGATTCTACGGAGAGCACAAAATCAGCTTCTGAGTGAAAGGATAAGACGGGTCCATTTCACTATAGCTGCCCTCCAAAGCAAGATTAGCTAGACTCTGCAGGAACTGAAAACCCTTCTACCATCTGTGAAGTAACATAAGCAGCATGGAAGGTGATAGGAAGACAGCATCTGCAGACTGTTCAAGTTTCTTTTAAGTGTTCTTTATTTTCTGGCGTCGCCTTTCAACAATTGTTTCACAAAAACACAAGAACCCGTCAGTCAAAATCTCACCTGCTTTATATAGAATTTCACTCACACCTGGACCTCATTAACCTCTACCATTGGGAAAACAGGGTAGACTAAATAACACAGTCTAGACAAAGAAGCAGGAATAAAATTATTTTTCCACTTAACAAACTCATTCACCCAACTAAAGACTTTGAAAAGTCTTCACTTAATATGACCCATGAGGTTATTTTAAATGAAATAAACAATTTTACACAAAAGAAACACCCCTTCATTTGGTTACACCCAATTGACATGATCAGTGACATCATATCCTATAAAATCAGGAAGTACTGGGGGGCCCTTCCCACATACCTGTTTTACACATTGGACCTGCTCAAAGGAACACACAATGCTAAGTATGGTAACTAAACTACATAAACAAATGAAAGATTCAAATCAATTAATGATGAAGTGACATTTAGCTTTAAGATGAAATGACTATAACCACAAACAGACCCGGGATAGTATGTAGAGCCAAGGTTACATGTGCTGGGTTTATATTAAAGCATTATGATAGACTGTAAGATAACAGAACACAAAATAACAATATATGCAAGTGACATGGCAAATGAATTCTGTCCTAGCCACTTTGTCACACCGTCTCCTATCTAAGAAGAGGTTTACAAGTTTCTGGACAAGGCTCAGCGGGCCCAACACTCTAAAGAAAAAGAAAGACAACGCAGGAAATTCCATGTGACATATCAAACTTATTGGTAATGTCACAAGAAAAACAATGGTGTGCTTGGTTTCAACGTAAACCTTTGATGTGTCACATGGCCCTCGTCCTATTGAAAAAAACAAAAGTTGTATCCAAGATGGCCGACTTCTAAATAGCCACCATGGTCACCACCCATCTTGAGGAGTTTGCCCCCTCACATATACTAATGTGCTACAAACAGGACTTTAATATCACCAACCATTCCCATGTTATTACGCTGTATCCATATAAATGGCCCACCCTGTAGATATGTTTAGCTCTTTCGGTGATTCTATAAGATTTTTATTTAATGTTATGCCTAGTAATCTTTTTTCTTATTTCAAATCGGCTGATTCAGCATTGTACTGACCAATGGCCACATGAAGTCTGTGACAAAAACACTGCATCCTCAACCACCAAGGTATTAGCCCCGTTGTCAGTCGTTAAAGCGTCAGGTTGAACTTCCAGCTTGTGAGGGCATCCTGCAGGGCTTCAGCTGTATGCTCTGCGGTGTGGTCTTGGGCTGTAGTCACATTCATGTATGGCTCACAGGTCCTGCTGGTCAATGAGACATTTTGGTGAGCATATACTTTTGGCCGTACTTCTCTTGCAAAGTACTTTTGACTAGGTATCTGGTATGTTCGGTCAGGGTTTTTAGCAGCTGAATAAAGGCCTCTTGTTCCACAGCTGAGATGGGGACCATGTCTTTAGCGATATGATAGGCCGCTGCTTTAGTACTGTCACTCCACTTCTCATAAGGCACAGCATGGGTATGGGAGTTTTGTAATGTGGTTTGTTTCGGTGCTGGAGGCTTTATGATCTGGGATACAGCAAAGTTTCACACTCTTCATACTGCACTTTATGGCGCTGTTGTAAATGGTGGAAAAGATTAGCAGTGCTTGAAACTTTTGTCGGAACATTTTTTAGGGATTCTCTACAGAACACATTATTCTGCTGATCATCTGACATTTTGAATCCGAACCATCTCCATATAATTGAGCCATTATTTTTCTTTTCTTCAATTTTTGACAACTCAAAGAGCTTTCTACTACAGGTCTCATTCACCCAATCACACACATTTTATTTATGTACTTTATATAACAGTCACACACCCACTTGCACTCCAATGGGTGCATCTTGGGCAACTCAGGGTTCAGTATCTTGCCCAAGGATACTTGGACACATGGACTGTAGTAGCCAGGGACTGATTGATCGACAGCCTGCTTCGCCACATGAGCCACAGCCACCTCTGGAATTCCCAAACAGTTAATGCCAAGTTTTTGCTAAACCTATTTATTGTGAAGGTAAAGTGTGTACTTTAAGCACATGTTGATTATTTGATTTAAAACCCACTATGGTGGTGTACAGAGGCAAAATTGTGTATATATTCTGTATTTGTCCAAGAAACTATGGTCATAACTGCATACACACGTTTCCACCGAGCTTAATAGTCATATCAATGGTATCCAAAATCAGGCATTATTGTCATTTGACCAGATTTCCGACAATCAGGACTCTCTGGACATGGACCCCCAGGAGCACTCTTTCACACGCACCATTGACGAGGAGGCAGAACTTGAAGAGAGGGTTGACCGTGAGAGAGAAGAAGGCCATCAAGAGCAAGACGATGAAGAGGATGACAGGGAGCATGAAGTAATGACAGCTGGAAGTAAGTACTCATGCCTGTAGTTGCATGTGTGTGTGTTTAGTGTGCAAAGCAGTAGCCAATTGGAGGACATAAGTGAATAAATGTTAACTTTTTAAAATCCTGTCTGTATTATTCATCTGTGTTTTTGTTGACTTTGCTTGTCACTGTAGCCTGTAGTGTTGGTAAAAGGGTTCTAGTATGAATATTATTAATAAATGGTTATTATTCAGGTTGTAACAGTTTCACTACTTAGTATAATGTATTTGGAAGTGCAGCTGTAATCTGCAACATTGTAACTGATTTCTGCATATTTCTCATGCTGTGAAGTTCTAAGTCGAACAGTTTATCAGCTAGCTTTCTCAGTAGGAAGGTGTTTCATAGCACCTATGAGCATGTGTAATCTGGCAGTTTTAAAGCTGTAAACTTCTGACATACTGTTATGAACACCTTCACTTGATATTCATGTCCTGTAATATATGGACATTATGTGCCGAAGGCTTTGCAGTGTGTTGCTTTAGCACGGGCTTTAGTATTGAATATTAGACTCCAGTAATTCTTTGTGGCTGCTGTTTTGTCCTCTAACACTGCATCTTATTTGTGTGTCTTTTTGTGTGTGCGTGTGTGTGTGCATGCGTGTGTGTGTGTATGATTGTGGCACAACACAGAAATCTTTCAATGTTTTCTCTCAGCGCGGGAGGTGGCTCGCAGTCGGGAGAGAGAGCGGGCCAGCAGCAGCACAGGACTGGGCTCCAGCTCCAGGAATGGAGGAGGAGGAGGTGGAGAGGAAGACACCATTCTGGCTCAAGAGGGCAGAAGGGGCAGTACGGGTCTTCCAGAAGGCCAAGACCTTTACACGGCAGCCTGTAACTCTGTGATCCACCGCTGTGCTCTGCTGATACTGGGAGTCAGCCCAGTACTGGGCGAGCTGACCAAGCAGAACCAGGAAGAAGCTCAGACCCAGTTAGCTACAGGGACACAGGAGTGCCTCAGCTTCATGACCAGGTCGGAGAGAAATAGGATGCTACTGTTGACATCCCTGAAAAATTGAATTCCTTTATCATTGGGCACAGTCACATTACTAAGAAATTTAGTCATTCATTGTGCGTTTCTCTTTTACTGGCCCCATATACACTTAAGAGAAAACCCAACTTATTTTAATTATTTCATATACTTTTATAATGTAACATTTCAGTTATATTTAATATAGCTCAGTTTATCATTAGGTTGATATTCTATAGTTACTTTAAATCTGCTTATTTAAAGGTAGTTTGATGAAAGTGCTTTGAAAAGTGTTTTTGAGTCGTCACTTGGGTGGAAAAACACTGAATTCCTGCACCAAGCTCTTGTTAACTTTTACAGTGAAGCATTGGAATGAGCACATTACATAGTTGTACTGGAACTGTACTGACCACAACTGTAAGGCTCCACATCAAGAGCTGTCTTCAGTTAGTCATGATCTGACTAGTCTTGAGTGCCCAGTATCAGTGAGGTAAGGTGACTGCACAGGACTAAAAGATAACACACAGGCTACTTTTGTTGTCTACACGACTCCATAAGTCTTTGGACAGTAATTCATTTTGTTTGTTTGTTTGTTCAGCCTTTCTCACTTGTTGTGCCTCGTATTGAGTGCACCTGATCAGCTGAATTAATCATGGTGTAATATCATTCCTATCATTCTTGTTTGTTAAGCCTACTGAATTAAAGTAGAATAGTCTGCACACACAAAAACTGTGTTAATGTAACGCTGTAGCTCACATTTCAAACCATAGTGGTTTGGAGCCTGCGGTGTGCACCTCAGAACCTCTCATAGTGAACATAATTCTGCTTTACCCTTTTAATGTCAAAGTATTCCAATGTTTTGTATTTCGAGCACCGTGTTGTACTTTGTCCTTTTTATAAAAAGGGAGACAACTGATGTGGCTGTATGCGCCACCATTCAGGTGAAAATCATGCTGTTTAATTGTTGTTGTTTAGCTGTCTTGTTCTCATTGATTTAACAGTGCTGTGATATGTTTGTGTACAGAAGTGAGAGCCTGAGCGCAGAGAGCCGTTTAGTGCAGAGCAGCCCAAGTTACAGACTGATGAAGTCCAGGAGCGAGTCTGACCTCTCCCAGCCAGAGTCAGATGAAGAAGGTTACACTTTGGTAAATCAAATGCCTGCACACACTCTTTGTTACATCTGCAGTACAGTTGACAAACAACTCAGAGAACTAGTTGCTCTCCTTTGACCCACCACACACTGACAAAATAATGTGATTTGAATCTCACAGAGAACAAGGTCACAGTAATGATGGTAGTAAAGCCAGTGTTAATAAGCAAATCATGTTCACTGTAATGTGTCACTTGCTTCTGACATGTGGAACATTATACACACACACACACACACACACTGCTCGTGCCTATGGTACGACACATTTTCTTCGTGCCCCTGGTACACTGCTGCAGTACTGGCATCTGTTAGTCCAATAATCACGCAGTTGACATTAGAATTCCACCTTTAATGTTTGCCTTCCTTCACACAACAACTGCAAAGCCCACACACATAACTTGTCCTTGAGTCTGTTTGTCCTCCACCTCAGCCGCCTGAATCTCCAGTTTACAATCACAGGTTAACATAATGTGCAAATCTGTGAACCGTTCTGTTTTTTCTTTCAGAATGGAAGAAGAAATGTTGACCTAGACTTGGCATTCTCCCACAAAAAGAGAGGTAACCACCGACCGCTAATTTGCTCCGCTAATGTTTGGAGAGAGGACAATGCAGGTTTTCGGTTGTTATCGTTCACATGTTACTCTTGTCTCTCTGTCTTCTGATTCCTGTACGGATAGTTTATTTGCTTCTTTTGGGGCAGTTGAGCCCCAAACACAAGAGGAACTTCAAGCAAGTAAACGATGGCATGTTTCTTCCTCTTGTTAACTCATAACTCCATGACTGTAATGCCATACCCACACCCTGCCCTCTTTGAGCCTCAACTTTTCATTTTGTAAAGAAAAAAAGAAAGATAAAGAAATCAGGATCACATAAACGTCTCCATTCAGGCCATTCTTCTGCTTGCACTGTTACTTTGCACTATGATGGCTCATTCCTCGTGAAGAGTGTAATCTGTTACTTTGAAGAATTTTCATGGAACTTTCTGGGTTGCACTTTTGAAGAAGTCATCAGTGCTGATACTTTGACTGAGTTGTTGTGTGGACGCGCTAGCCTGTTTCCCATTCCACTTCTCAGCCGCAGAATTCTTCCTCAGTGTGTGTTGGATACTCGGTGCATCCATCACAGGCAAACTCATAATGGAGGCTTGCGCCTGCATGTAGACTCGGCATTTGGCCATTTGATGAACTCCGGTCGAGTAATAATGCGCTCCTTTTAAGTGCTTCAAAGCTACTCGGCACATCCCTCAATAGATCCCCTGTGTGCACAAATACAACAAACGGGATCTTCTTCTCCTTCTCAGGCCTCCTTCACAGCTCACCAGACTCCCTGGCTGAGTCCTGGTTTCGGGCCAAGCTGAGCCGTCAGCAGAGTTACAGTTCAACGTATGAAGAGTCAGACCTGGACTTGAGCCGATCGCTGGGCATCCACGCTCTCATCGACAACATGGTCAGCTTCATCAGTGGTGACGTGGGCTTGGCTCCAGCTTTTAAGGAGCCAGAAGAAAGTATGTCCACCAGCCCACAGGCCATTATCCTGGCTATGGAACAGCAGCAGAGCAGAGCAGAGGTGAGCGATTCCTCAGCGAGAAGTCCAACCAAATGATGGTTAATCAAAGTCAGCATAGTTGATTTTGTTCTTTTCTTCTATGAAACGTTTGTGGAGGATTTTTATTTTTTGTACGGTTATACCTTTTCAGAACAGAGCTGACAGTATTTTATACGTTTTCTTTGTCTTCTCAACAAATCAGTTGAAGACTGAAATCTGTAATGCCTGTCTCTCATTTCACTCAGTCTAAAACTGACTGATTCCTACTGACGATATAAAGACTTCGTCAAAAGTTTGGGTTTTTATTTTCTAAAGAAGAACACGTTATCAAATTTAAAAACAATTCAAATTAGTCAGATGATATTTTAAAAATGTCTCTACAGTTTTGCTTAGAGGCCTATCATCAACAGCTGTCAGTCCTCTGGATCAGTTTCCTGGTATGGCTGCTAATCCAAATCAATACATTTAAAAGGCTAATAAATTAGTAGAAAAACCTTTTGCAGTTGTGTTGCACAGCTGGAAACCATGGCACAGCATTATTTAGGTTAGTTTAGTGTCCGAAGCATCAGCCATTTTATTGTTCTCCAGTCATCAGTTGTTCTTCTGAGAAAGGAAGGCTATTGTGAGTAATTGTGCAGAAACTTAAAATCTCTTATCCATACCCCTTTAGGGAGCAGCAAACATTGAGTCTAAAATAGGCAGAAAAAGGAGTGGGAGGCCCGATGCACAACTGTGCAAGAAGACAAACATCTGAGAATGTGTCGTTTAAAACAGAGACACCTCACGGGTTGTAAACTGGCAGCTGCATTAAATAGTACCTGTCAAACACCAGTGTCAGCGTCACAGTGGAGGGGTGACTTCATGGTCTGAGACAAAAAGAAAAGACTGAGCTGGGCAGAACAGAGCACACACACTGGATACAGGAAAACATTATGGAAGCCCGTTTCTGCCACTAAAAAAAAAAGGATTCATAACTCAAAATTTCGAGTTACTTTCTCGAAATTTCAATTTATTAACTCAAAATTTTGAGAAAAGTAACTCGAAATTTCGAGTTAGCGCTGCCAATCAGTAATCTACGTGAATGACGTCATTTCCTGGTTACCCGGAAGCTGAAGCCCTCAGCTACAAATGCTACAGCTAAGCTACCGTTATTACATCCAGTCGTGAATGCACAGATTGCTGAGTGTTTTCAGCCTGGCTTCACAAATGATGAAATCAAATGTTATTAGCTGAATCACATGGTGTTACTATCAGCAAACGTACTCGCCAAAGCGCCAATTTGTTGGGGTCCGTTTTTGAGTGCGCTTTCCTCTGCGCCATAAGCTTCCGGGTAATAAGAAAGCGACCTCATTCACGTAGAGTTTTGATTGGCAGAGCTAACTCGAAATTTTGAGAAAATAACTCAAAATTTCGAGTTATGGATACTAGCTGTTTTGTTTTTATTTAGTGGCGGAAACGGGCTTCCAGTGAAAACATTTTACCCAGTAAACAGTCAAACTGCAGCTTGAAGGAAGACTCCATCCATGTACCTTGAAAGATTGACATCTACAATACCATGATTTCTGCACTTAAGAAATGATTAAACTTAAGAAATATTAAAACTATAGTTCTGCACCACACGTCTCAGGAGTTGGTCTTCAGACATGGTTTGGACAAATCTGTGTTTCTCACAAATTTGGAATCTATTTGTAGCGAAAGGGGGAATTTGTGCAAGTCATATAGAGCATGTGCAGTAGTGGTTTGGTGCCTTCCAGGTTTGAAAAGTGGTTTGCATGTTTTTAGTAGATAAAACATGGTTTTGAAAGGACTTATTGGGCTTATAGAATTCTATGAGGAAACAGCCCTCGGCCATGACCTCAGTAAACACTATGCTATGAACAAGCACGTTGTTTAACATTTGTGCTCAATGGATCCATTCTGGATTCAGTCTCTTGCCTAACATGCTAGAGCAGTGTTTCCCAACCATTTGGAGCCACAGCACATATTTCACATAAAAAAAATCACACGGCACACCATTAAACAACAATGTCACAAAAAGCATATTGATCATTTTCCCCTGAGCACCACGCGTAGCGAAACTGGCTCGGTTTGTCACCAGTAGACCTTTTGTGCTTTCTTCTGACCACTGCTCATGCTAAGGCCTTCATCTGGGTCAGCATTTTCTCCAGGAAGCAGATCAGGCTGACTACTTTTTCTCTTCAGATATTTATCTATTGCTATTACGTGACTATTATGTAATTTCTTCTTCGTCTTCTCCTGTTTTACTGGCATTCGGCAACCCATTTAATTAGAGCAGGTAGTTGTACTCCCCTCTAGTGGAAGACAATGTAATTGTTCTGGCCGTTACTCACACCGATCGCTTCGAGTAATAATCAGGTGGAACGGCACACCTATGTGCCGCAGCACAGTGGTTGGGAAACGCTGCTCTAGAGTAGCCAGGAATTGATCCACCGACCTCCCAGTTGCTCTACCTCCTGGCTTGCCGTACCCACTCAAACACAGCTTCCTTGTAAAGACTTATTTAGGCTATACTTATTGGCTAAAAACATCTACAGCTCCAAGCCTAGTAACAGGGCTTCACAAACCAGTGTTACTGATGCTAACTACGTCTATCTTATCAGTCAGTATTCAGAATATTCATTTGAGTGTTGGATGTGTTCTGTGTCCAGCTGCGTTTGGAAGCACTCCACCAGATCGTGGTGTTGATCTCAGGCATGGAGGAGAAGGGCAGCCAACTGAACAATGCAGATCGATCCAGCGCAGTCTTCCAGTCCTCTTCACTGCTCACCTCTGTCAGGTTGCAGTTCCTGGCTGGCTGCTTTGGCCTTGGCACTGTGGGAACTGGAGTGCTGAAGAGAGAGAACGTGCAGCTGCATCATTACCAGGTATGGCTCTCATCACAGGATGAAGAATACCTCGAATTGTGAGTGTCTGGACAATTTGTGAGATGATAGGCATTATCTGTTATCTCATAGATTTGCATCTTAATGTCTTTACAGGATATTTGGCGTGTTAAAAAATTCAAGTACGTAATAGGTGTCACAGTAGTAACGTAGCGGGCCAGCCAATGAAATGATTCAACTTTGCTGTCCTTTCTTCATGGCAACATAGATCCAGGTTTGCAAAAGTAATTATTGTTAATAACGATCATCATCAAAATACATCACTGGTTCATTTGGGTGTTGGAACCACCAGGAAGTCCCGCTCGCTCTGCTAATGCTCAGAATGTGGTTCTGATCTGCAGGGTTATCTGTTCGGGGTTCGAGTTTGTCCCTTTGTTTGCTCTGCGTTCCTCCAGGCACTGTGTGGATTTCTGGTGTTTTATAAACACAATGTATCAGCTGACATCATCGACAAACTGATTTCACTAAAATTTGTTATATGAAGCTATTTATGAGTTCTTACTAAAACAAACGTGACAATGACCTTTTTTTTTATCTTGTTTTCTCTTCATAACAAGTTGCCTCTGTCGTGTGTCTTATTTACGTTTTTACATTTTCATTTACTGGCCAGTATAAATGCAGATACCAATGTATTGACAAAAACCTAATATTGACCAGCATGTCAGTCAATATTATACTAATATATTAATTATTAAAATATTATTAATTAAGCCCAAATTGAAGAATTGACTCTTCTGGAGTTGATATTAATTATCTCCACAGCAATGCAACTCCAAAAGTGAGCAGACAAAATCTAGCATTCAGTTGTGGCACATAAACTGAAGGACGTGGAGAAATAGCAGCCTGAGCCTTTCTGTAGCACCATATCTAAGGACTGATTCAGGGTGACCTGATCCAGCCATGCCTACAAGTTTGATCAAAAATAGAGAGGGTGTCTGTCTCAAGAGACCAGCCACATACTTTTCATTTAAAGATCACTAATACTTTTAAACTATATATGACCATTTAATATTTGTACATGGATACTTCATCATCTGCTGAGCTGAGGTCAGGGCTCTAACACACAAAACTCCATAAACTCACTTATTTATTCACAACATTGCTGCAGTTGCTCTTTGTCTGCTGATTAGACATGCAACCATCTTGCCTCTAGACAGCTGACAATTAGCATGCCTCTACGCTAACAGTATGCCAGCTAACGTTAGGCTCAAGGCCTAAAAGTCACATTTTGTTTCTGATGAAGAGTCTGATTGTATTCTCACATTGTATGAGGATGTGTTTACCGAGCGTTTGAGTCCAACAATGCTAAATCACCTTCAAATTCAGTTTCAATACCATCACCCGGTGGCGCCAGTGTCCGGCAGCCTCGCCTCTGTCAGTGCACCCCAGGGCAGCTGTGGCTACAATGTAGCTTACCATCACCAGTGTGTGAATGTAGTGTGAAGCGCTTTGGGGTCCTTAGGGACTAGAAAAGCGCTATATAAAATGCAGGCCATTTTACCATTTACCATCAGTTAACAGCAGCTAACAGTGGTAAAAACAGCAGCGGTTACCAGCAGAAAAGTTTAGGATATCCTAAACTCACTTTAGTAATGCTGTCATTGGATAGAAGTGAATTCATTGACTCGTCCACTCATATAAGACACATATTGACGGGTGAGTGGTAGTGGCGAGGTTTCCTTCTGTTCTTATTTTTTTATATAAAATATTTCAGGGATTAAGTTCTGCACACTGGCACATAAACTCAGAGTGGCTGCCTGCAGTACAAAAGGAGTTTACCGGTTCATTGTGATGCGCTGTATCCTCAATATAGGATCTCTGTATTTGTTTGACAGGAAGAGGTGCGTCAGTATTTTCACCTTCAGTGTATGTGTAAAGGACTGACTGGTTTGTTGTTTTGAACTCTGTCTTTGTGTGGCTGTGCGTTTGTCTTTAACAGGATGGTGTAAAAGCAGCAAAGAGGAGCCTCCAAATGGAAATCCAGACGGCTGTCCATAAGATTTACCAGCAACTGTCTGTCACACTGGAAAGAGCACTTCAGGCAAACAAGCACCACATAGGTAATCCAGAGTGCTGCTGTATAGAACTGAGGAGTGTTCACAGCTGTACTGCTTACATTTATGAAAGCTTATTAGAACTTTCAGGCGATAGCTTCACCTGCAGGTAGATGTGAAGCTGTGTTTCCAATCGTGTTTTGAAAAGAGAACTTAACGGCCTTACTCTAAACCTCTAAAACACAAGGCCCAGCCTGTGAGCTTCTATTTGACCCCTTTCTTTGATCTTTTCATTTGTCACCGTAGAAGCTCAGCAGCGCCTCCTGCTGGTGACTGTGTTTGCATTGAGCGTTCGCTACCAGCCAGTGGATGTGTCTCTGGCCATCTCCAGTGGCCTGCTCAATGTGCTGTCCCAGCTCTGCGGGACAGAGACCATGCTGGGGCAGCCCCTCCAGCTCCTGCAAAAACCTGGCGTGTCTCAGCTCAGCACTGCCCTGAAGGTGGCCTCCACACGGCTGCTGCAAATACTCGCCATCAGCACGGGGTAAGAGCTCAACAAGGAGCAGTAGAGGAATTGGTAAATCAGAAGCAGTGCAACACCAGTGTCTTTCCTTGTGTTTGCAGAACATATGCAGACAAATTGAGTCCCAAGGTTGTCCAGTCACTGCTGGACCTGCTTTGCAGTCAGCTGAAAAACCTGTTATCTCAGGCAGGAGTTAGTCTCCTTCATGCTGGAAAAGAGCAGGAAGATGGCAAACATGAGGACAGCGCCGACTCTGAAAGGAAAGACTTCAGAGGTGAAACTGGCGTTTGCTGTCATTACATCTCTGTGTTTGTTTAAAGCTTGTTGATTTTCTTTAAATCTTGAGATGTATAAGTCATTGACTTAGCAACACTCACATGAGTGACGCACTTTTGCATGAGGTTTAGATGATGTGGTGTGAACAGTATTTGCTTCAAAGAAAGTCCGTTTTTGTGTTTGTATAAGTGCAACCTGTCATTATACTTATTGCAATTTTGTTGATTTTCAGCGTTGCTGCGCAAACAGCATACAGCCGAACTGCACCTCGGTGACTTCTTGGTCTTCCTAAGGAGGGTGGTGTCCTCCAAGGCCATCCAGTCCAAGATGGCATCCCCCAAATGGACTGAGGTGCTGCTGAACATTGCCGCGCAGAAGTGCTGCTCAGGTACGAGAAGCTACTATCGTGTATGGTGCTTTCTCAAATATAAACATAAGTGAAAATGACGTTTCCTCTGGTTATTAAATGTAGGTGTTCCTCTGGTGGGAAACTTGAGAACTCGGCTCCTGGCTCTTCATGTTTTGGAGGCTGTCCTGCCTGCCTGCGAGGCTAGCATGGAAGATGACCAAATGACACAGGTGCTAATAGTTTCTCTGTGCAAGTCCTCAGTTTGTCCTACATGACTGTCGTCAGTCCGCCAGCTTTAATATTTTCTTGTGCTCTAGGTCATTGAACGGCTCTTCTCCCTGCTGTCTGACTGCATGTGGGAAGGTCCCATTGCTCAAACCAAACACTCGATCCAGATTAAAGAAAAAGTTCAGGAGCTTAAACTACAGGTGTGCAGGATCACCTAGCTGTGGATGTATCTTTATCTTTATTTGTTTATGTAGCTGACAGCTGCTTGAATTCACAGGGAGATACAGAGGAGGAAGATGAGAACCTTCCCATTCAGGAAATTTCCTTTGACCCAGAAAAGGCTCAGTGTTGTGTAGTGGAAAACAGTCAGGGGCTGACACACGGCAGCGGGGGTAAAGGCTACGGCCTGGCCTCGACTGGCATCTCCTCTGGATGCTACCAGTGGAAGGTACAGTATTTTTCTCATTGGCTCATTATTACTTGGAGGCAGTGTTGGGAAGGTTACTTTTAAAATGTATTCCACTACAGATTACAGATTACATGCCCCAAAATGTATTTTGTAACGTATTCCGTTATATTACTCAATGAGAGTAATGTATTCTGAATACTTTGGATTACTTAATATATTATCATGCTGTTTACAACTACATGAATGTCCTACTGCTGTGTGATTTATTACTATTACTGAAGTTTACTCGCCACACCAACACCAACTAGATGTTTAAACCTTCATATAAATGAGTAACAGTAGGTGGACATTAGGTAAGGCTGCACTTTCTGCAGCGATCTCATATAGAAACTATTCCTCGCGTATATAAAACAGGTCCGCGGCTCCGAACCGTAGTAAAGGACCTCTGGCTGATACGCTAATACGCTAATACGGGAATAAGTCTCTGAACCAGCTGAGGCGCAGACCCAACACTGGTTGGAGAACACTCAAAAAAGAAGATTAATATTGTTTTTAGTCAATTTTTCTGCTCGATTTCCTTATATAACAATAAAGCATAGTTTTGTTTTTAAATATCAGTAACACAGAGGTGGGAGAGGTGGCCTTTGTTTTTATTTTGCTCCCTACGTGTTTCAGAGTTTGTTTGTTGTCACCCGTAGTTCTACATTGTGAAGGAGAATCGAGGCAACGAGGGGACATGCGTGGGTGTGTCACGATGGCCCGTGCACGACTTCAACCATCGCACCACATCGGATATGTGGCTGTACCGAGCGTATAGCGGAAACCTCTATCATAACGGGGAGCAAACACTGACGCTTAGCAGCTTTACTCAGGGAGATTTCATCACCTGCGTTCTGGATATGGAAGCAAGAACGGTCTCCTTTGGCAAGAACGGAGAGGTGAGGGGTGAAAAAGGAGAGCAGCCAGTCATTCGTGCAAGTGAAAAGACTTTAGTTAGACTCCTGTTAGAAATCAATAGTTCTTTCTCTAACTATCAACGTTTGATTCCAAAGGAGCCCAAGTTGGCCTTTGAGGACGTGGATGCCACGGAGCTCTATCCCTGTGTGATGTTCTACAGCAGTAATCCAGGAGAGAAGGTAGGTGGCTGGACTGAGTCCGTCCTTTTGAACATTCACTCTTTGAGGCTGAGTGTTGCATTAATTAATGGAAATATTCATTTAAGATATCTGTGAAGTCATTTCACATGTTGTAATGTGTGTTTGCATCTTCACTATAAAAAGTAATTAAACAGTAAATAAACAGTTTTAAAGTCGTTAGATCTTTTTATCGTGCAGTGCAAAACTAATGTGACACATGACGCTGTTTCATGTGCCTGCATGTAGGCTAATATTGTCCACCAATCACAAGTAATTAGCACATGTCATCGACATGAAATGAAATCTTTTATTGATGAGGTCCGTCAGCTTTGGATCTTTGTGAGAGACCCAAGAAGAGAATTGTTGAATTGCGAATAGTCAAATTTACATTATGGATTTTTGACTACTCAGACACTTGTTTGTATCTACATTCATCTAACAACCGTTGATTAAACACTTAAAACACCTGAAATCACCTCAAAGAATCTGTTTCTGAGTATATGTTAGTTGCTGTATATGTTTTGTCTTTATCTTCGGTCTCTAGGTTAAGATATGTGACATGCAAATGAGGGGAACACCGCGAGACCTCTTACCTGGGGATCCTGTCTGCAGCCCTGTGGCCACAGTGCTGGCTGAAGCCACCATACAGCTGATCCGCATCCTACATCGCACTGACCACTGGACCCCTCGCATAAACAAGACTATGATTGAACGACTTCACAAAATCAAACTGTGCTTTAGAGAGTCAGCGGGCGCTTCTGGTGGCGGCCTAGGACAGAGGCTGAAAAAGAGCCGCTCGGTGCAGAGCCGCGAGGAACACGACACTCAGAGAGAAAGCCAGGAGACGCCCACACGGACAGATGAGGAGAAAGGTCGCCACGGACGGCAGCACGGCTTGGGGGAACTGTCGGAGCACCACTTGAGAACCCTCTGCACAGAGGTGTGGCCTGTCCTGGCAGTGATCGGGGGTGCGGACGCAGGACTTCGGGTCGGAGGCAGATGTGTGCACAAACAGACCGGGAGGCATGCTACTCTGCTGGGTGTGACGAAGGAAGGCAGTACCTCAGCTAAGGTGCAGTGGGATGAAGCCGAGGTCACTATCAGGTATCGAATGAAAAGTTTTCTGCTGTTTATTGGCTTATTCTTATTAAATGTAAAGCATATATGTTTAGGACATACTAAAGACGTAAGACAAAGTGCCGAGTGACTTCTACCCCCTAGGACCTGGCATCCACATATGTGGACATCACATTTTGGGTTGTCTAGACCACACGGTGGTTAGCACTGTTGCCGCACAGCAAGAAGGTCCTGAGTTCAATTCCACCATCAGGCCGGGGTCTTTCTGTGTGGAGTTTGCATGTTCTCCCCGTGTTTGCGTGGGTTCTCTCCGGGTACTCCGGCTTCCTCCCACCGTCCAAAGACATGCAGCTCGTGGGGATAGGTTAATTGGATAATCCAAATTGTCACTAGGTGTGAGTGCGAATGGTTGTCTGTCCCTGTGTGTTGGCCCTGCGACAGACTGGCGACCTGTCCAGGGTGTACCCCGCCTCTCGCCCTATGACAGCTGGGATAGGCTCCAGCGCCCCCCGCGACCCTGAAAAGGATAAGCGGAAGCGAATGGATGGATGGATGGATGGATGGATAGACCACAATACTAAATATTGCTCTACAAGGGCCTGATATCCACTTACGAGGACGTTACACTGCCACCGTTCGAAATGCAAAACGAATGCCCTCATATGTGGATATCAGGCGCTTAGAGAGCAAGATTTTACATTCATCAGGTCCCAAACAGCCCAAATAGTAGAAGAAGTTAAAAACATATGCCATGAAAGAGTTCAGGTCTTAGGAGGTTAAGGCTTAGACTGCAACCGTTGTTCTGTTTCTCTGGAATAAGGACTCCAGGGGTTAAAAAAGAGTAACATCACTTTGCACGGCATGTGAAACGAGCTGTCCTCTAGACACGTGTTCGTGTTGCTGAAGAACACGTGTCTACTGGAACGTGTCGACATCACAGGTGGAGCTGGATGTGATTTCTGGATGTGTCTTCATGTTTTCTGCCGTGTCCTCCTTTGAAATCATCATGTCACCCTCTGTTTTCCTTTGCTCCGTTTTACTCTTTCACATCTTGACTTCGGCTTTTGACTCATCGTCCATACATTCTTCTGGGATGGTCACGTGTGATACCCACATAATGCACCTTTTTATTTGTCTCGCATGCTGTGCCTTTTCTCTCCTACCCTTTCCCTCACTTTGTGTTTCCTTCCCTTGTCTCTTTTCACTCTCCACTCCCTTCTATTAAAGCTTCCCAACTTTCTGGTCGCCTAGTGACACTCCATTGTACAACCTGGACCCGTGCGAGCCTTTGCCCTTTGATGTGGCCCGTTTCCGTGGCCTCACTGCCTCCTTGTTGTTGGACCTCACCTACCTTACCAGCATTCACGAGGATACTACAACAAAGCTCGGCGCCCGACGCCACGAGAAGAAGCACCGCAACACACCCTCTACTGGGCACGAGCCGACCGGCGGCGAGGAGAAAACCGACGGCGAAGGGCACAACCGTAACGACTCAAAAGATAACGTTGGAGCCCCTTCGGCTGCCACAACCTCTGACCTGCGAGTGTCCCACAGCCTCGATGAGGTGAAAGCACACGTGGCGCCCAACTCAAAGTCAGAGAGTGAGATCTCCTCTGTGGCTGGGGGCGGGGTAGGTGCGAATGAAACCCTTTTCACTGCTCCTGCTCCTGCTGATGGGAACAGGAAGAAAGGCCATGATCATGGCTGCCGCAGTCACGAGCCCTCTCCTTCCTCCATCACCACTCAGTCAGAGATCCATGCTGTGCAGCTGTCCTACCTCTACCTGGGAGCTATGAAGACCCTCAGCGCGCTGCTGAGCTGCAGCAAGTATGCTGAGCTGCTCCTCATACCAAAGGTAAAGAAGCCTGCCGAGTACGTTTACTTAAGCTGTAGCAGTCCATGCACTTGGCGTGCTGTGCAGTTCATAGGAATTCTTACAGGAAATCTTTGACTTCTACAGCAATGTGAACGTTTCTGGTTGTTTGCACCATGTGTAAAGTATGTTAAGTACATATGTAAATACATTGTCTGAAGTTGGTGAAATCAAAAACAGATCTCAGTTAAATATTACGAGATTTCTAACCACCAGTTCTGTCCTGACCTCCAGGTGTTACCAGAAGCAACCCCCAGTGGGCACAACGCTGATCTGAACACCTGCACCAGTGGAAACCCAGCTGCCACCTCACCAGTATACCAGGACGAGGTGGAGATGCGGGCAGCTCTGCAGTTCCTCATGCGTCACATGGTGAAGCGGGCAGTAATGCGCTCCCCCATCAAGCGAGCCCTGGGACTGGCAGACCTGGAGAGGGCGCAGGCTATGATCTACAAGCTGGTTGTAAATGGGTTGTTGGAGGAGCCTAGTGGTGGGAAAGCAAAGGCTGGTGAGAACATGCAGATAGTTTCAGTTCAGAGTGCAGTTTATAATCAAGCCACATAGAATAAAGCTACAAATGATCTTTTTTTATCTCTTTCACAGGTGTGAGAAGTGAACCTGAAGGTGAGGGGGAAGTTACAGAGGGGGAACAGTTGGCACAAACCCCCGTCACCACCAGTCCGTCAGCTTCCAGCACCACCTCCTTTATGAGCTCCTCACTGGAGGACACTACCACGGCTACCACACCTGTCACTGATACAGAGACCGTCCCTGCCTCGGAGTCTCCAGGAGTCATGCCTCTCAGCCTCCTGAGGTCAGATGGCACATATTGTTATTTAGCTAGTGCTAACGAGTAGCCTTGTTTCCGTGTGGGATTAAAGCCAGATGATTATTTGAATCCACCTGCAGGCAAATGTTCTCCAGTTACCCCACCACCACTCTTGTTCCGACACGTCGAGCCCAGACTCCTCCAGTGTCATCCCTACCGACCTCTCCGTCAGACGAGGTTGGCCGCAGGCAGAGCCTCACCTCTCCGGACTCCCAGCCCTCCAGACCACAGAACAGAACAGGTACCTGTAAGTATGCCAAACTGCAAGGAGTATTCTTTGGTTGGCCTGTGGAAAGCTTGGACCTTATCCATTATGGAAAAGTTGAAAAAATAGAAAACACAAACAGATATTTTAATATAATTCCGTTTTACTTTTTGCATCTTTTGATACTGTATTCAGCCGCCTGACCCCGATGATGATGATGTCATTGTTGTTTCCTTCAGCCCTGTCGGACCCCAGCAGCAGACTGTCCACGTCTCCCCCTCCACCTGCGATTGCTGTGCCTCTGTTGGAGATGGGCTTCTCCCTGCGCCAGATCACTAAAGCTCTGGAAGCCACTGGTCAGTCTATCTGCAGTAACCGGCCCATTGTTGTCCATTTACAAATACATGAAGTCAGGGTAAAAAGATTCTATTCCAGGAATAATCAAGATGTTGACTTATTTTTTCTACCTAAAACCTTGAATGTTCTCAGAATGCTCCCTACCAATTCATCCAGTGTAACAAAGCTTCTGTGCGTCATTACGTGTCTGTGACGTGGCATAACAAGATTTCCCCTACAAATAGTCGACCTGTTATATGTTTTTATCCCAGGTGCTCGAGGAGAAGTAGATGCTCAGAACATCACCGTGCTAGCCATGTGGATGATCGAACATCCAGGAACGGAGGACGAGCACGATGAGCCCCACGCCAGAGGCGGCGGTGTCAGCGGTGAAGCCCCCGACTCGTCCTGTCCTGGTGCCACAGCAATCACTGGAGCCAAGTCTCTGGATAAAAACTCATATCTGTGCTCTCCCGGGGTCATAGCCAGCGCAGACACTTCCGAAGTGGAGGAAGGTTTCAGCGAAAGGTACAACAGGGTGCTCATTGCTCGCAGCGTGTTGCATTTTAATTACAACAGTAATTAAGTAGAGTAGTAGTAGGATAAGTAATGTTTAAAAGTTGTGGTTAGAAGTTTACATACACTCATCATGGACATGTATGTCACAGTAACTGCTCTTATTCCAGGCGTCTTTAATGAATTAAAAAAAACTGGGTCCACAAATTTGAATTTATTTGGGATTTTCTCCAATCCACACAGGATCAAACATACATTCAACTGAGTCCTTTAACTAGTAGCCTATTCATTCCTTATTATTGATCATGATTGACAACTGATAGCTTCGCCCTTTCGATATAAAAATGGAAAAGTCCAAGGAACTCCGTGAAGATCTAAGAAATACTGATGGGATTTCCGGCTCTTTTTGGAGAACCAGCTCTTCGGGTTATTTTGTTGCTTTAATTAATTTATTATTAACAATAATATAAAATTACGCACAAAAGGAAGTACTAATGTAAAAAAAGAAAGTGGTTTTATTTATATATGTTTATATATAAATATATGCGGTGGCCCCTAGAGACAAAGCACGTACAAACTCCAAAACACATTTCTAGCTTTAACTGAACTTCAAAGCAGAGCTACTAGATCACTTAAATTACACAATTGAAAGTATGTGTGTATGGTTTCTGTATTTATACACAAGCACTCATATATATTCAAATAATTTAAAATTAATTTACCTGTTACTACCACACACCAAATCCGGTCGTTGGTACTTCCTGGCTTGTGTAGCCACTAGGTAACAAAAGCTCAACACTGCCCCCTAGCATCCTGGAGCACTGCTGTTGTGTTTTGTACGTGTTTTGAAGTTTGTACATGTTTAGTCTGTAGGGGCCACCGTAACTATACTTTTATTCATTCACTCCACATAAAATGTAATAAATAAATCGTATAATAAAAAAACCAACTATTCACATTTCAACTTTTAACTATTTAAATTTTCAGCTTTTTCCTTTTAAACCAATTTAAAGTGAAACAACACAAAACAGGGCTCGCAAAATCGCTAGCCCGATGTCCCGGAGCTAGCGATATCTCCGGTCGGGCGACCAAAATCTATCTCAGCCCCGCCCGTCGGGTTATCATATAGCCCGACGGGCGGGGCTGAGAAATCGATTCATTTAAATGAACTGTTCTGTGAAGAACAGCGTCAAATATCCAATTATAATTAGGGCTGTGCGATATGACCAAAATCTCATTTATTGTCTCATGTCCCGACAACGACATGTATCACAAAATTTTACATTTTCTGTAAATTCTGTGAATCTCGAGCAACTCAACTTGCGTGAAGTGTTTCCAGCTGGGCGTCGTGTAGCTGGAGTCAAGTGTTACATAAGTTGAAACGGCCGCAATTTTCTTTGTGAGTACTTATACACGGCCTGTTCTAAGGTTTATTTTTTAGCACCTGACGCCTCTTTTTAGCTTCTCGTCCGTAAACACTCTGCATGCTATTTCACACAATTCAGTTTATTTTGAAAAATCTCGACAGGATCTTCAGCTTTATTTTGAAAGGTTTATGCAGAAAATAATCAAACGGACGGCGGAGCCATGCGATGCTGTTACCGTCGTTGTTGCTAATGACAACGCATAAAAACAGGCGCTTGTCCGTCCGTAGTGTGGTTATATTAAATACAAGAGAAAGAGAGAACTTTAAGGAATGAACACAGCCACTACAGTGACATCAGAACGATGACAAAATATTACCGTAAACAGTTTATTTTGAGACACCACGACAGACGTTTTCATATCATCATCCGATATATATCGTTATATCGAGCAGCCCTAGTTATAATCGTGTCAGAAAGTTGTCTATGGTCACCAAAAGCATCTGGTCTTGCTAAGGCTCATCTCACCAATATTAGTAATGTGTATGTATAAATTTGAGGGAGTACGTTTCCTTTTAAACCTGTGTAGATGAGAGAAAATCCAAAGTAATTTCACATTTTTGCACCCAAGTGTTGTTGTTGTTTTTTAATCATTAAAACTTAGCGTGATATTTATGGCCAAGCTGCTCTAAGTATTTAGAGCTCGCTCACATAGATGCATTTTCTCTTGTTTGAAACTTAAACTCACTGTTTAATTCAACTGACGACAAAAAAGATTCTTTTTAAAGAAATTCTGCCGTGTCTGAAGTTAGAGGATGTAGGTCTGTGGTGCTTTTACAACCCTCCCAATTGAGAAATGGAAAGTACTGAGAGTCACCCCAACACAGAACAGAGGTGCCCAGCCTACTTGCCTGACACGGGATGACGTGTTTATTGAGTGTGTTTCTTTTTCTGCAAAATGTCAGCTACTCTGCGACTATGAATACTCTAAAGTGTGTATACTTTGTCTTCTAGTCCTGAAGGTCTGGAGCAGGACAATGCATCTGCATCCAGCAGTGCCCCACTCAGAGGCCGCTCTGCTGCTGGCAGGAAACACCGCTTTGACCTGGCTGCACGCACACTGCTGGCTCGTGCTGGTGAGAATATTTCACAAGTGTATATCCTACCTTTCTTTACAAGACAGTGAACGTTTATCTTCCGCTCAGAAGCTCATGGGAAACGTTGATTCTTTTGTAGCTGGACTGTACCGCTCAGTGCAGGCCCACCACAGCCAGTCACGTCGGGAGGTCTCGTCCTTACAGCAGCAACAAGACCCAGGTGCACTCTATGACTTCAACCTGGATGAAGAGCTGGAGATGGACCTTGATGAGGAGACCATGGAGGCCATGTTTGGCCAAGACCTCGCTAGTGACACTGACATTCTGGGAATGTGGATCCCGGAGGTACTGGATTGGCCAACATGGGTGTGTGACTTTAGAGCTGCCATCACGGTTCTGCGGTTTCGCTTCATCACTTATTGCGTCGAGTAAACTTACATGCACGTTGAAATAAACCCATTTGTTTGGTTAAACATTACCCATGAAATCTTCCTGCATTAGGACTTTGCCCCTGAAACTTTAAATCATGCAACTAATGAAATTCATGTTTTGGATAACTCGATCTTTATTCTCAGTACTGATAACTGGCTGCTCATTCATATCTGTCAGAGGTTCAGATTAGATTGCATGAATGTGTATTGTTTCTCTAAAACATCTTCGTGTCTGTTGTACATCAACTCACAGCACGTGTGTGAGACAGACGATCGAGATGAAGTGGTAGTGTGCGAGCTGTGTGAGGCCAACGTGGCCAATTTCAATCAGCACATGAAGAAGAGCCACCCGGGCTGTGGGCGCAGCGCCAACCGGCAAGGCTACCGCAGCAACGGCTCCTACGTGGATGGCTGGTTCGGTGGGGAGTGTGGGAGTGGAAACCCCTACTATCTGCTGTGTGGCGGCTGCAGAGAGAAGTACTTGGCAATCAAAAGCAAAGCCAAAGTCCCCATTGTGGAAAGGTGTGCACTCCTGTGTGTGACAGCCGACAAAGCAACAGGAAGTTGATTAGATTTTTACACTTCTGCAATGAAATGATGTTTTAAATTAGGGGAAAAATCTATTGAAAAGCACGATAATAAAAAATATTTCTGCACTTATTTATATTATATTCGAATCTTTGTGTGATTTTATTTTGTGGTGTGACTTCAGATACAAGGGACAGGCTCCCGACCTTCTGGGAAAGCAAGACAGTGTTTATGAAGGTAACGCACGGTGACTGTGGATGTGATGCGTTGAACTGACACAACAGATTTAGAATTTTCCTTCAATTTTAAACTCTGTTGTCTTTCGGTCTTGCAGAGGATTGGGACATGCTGGACGTCGATGAAGATGAGAAGTTGACAGGGGAGGAGGAGTTTGAGCTTTTGGCTGGCCCTTTGGGTCTGAGCGAGCGCAGGATTGTCCCCGAGGCTGTCCAGTTTCTAGATAGTGACCCGTTGGGAGCCTCTATTGCCATGGTGACGGCAACCAACAGCATGGAGGAGACTTTACTGCAGATAGGTTAGAAAACATCAGTAATTACCGTGTAGGGGATGTGTTCCTCTCCTGGGCAGCAAAGCAGTTCAGATCAATGAACCAGCTAAAATAGAACCAACATGTCCTGATATAAGGCCAAACTCTTTCCTTAAAAACTGTGTGGTGACTATGTGGATGATGCTAGGGTGAAGTGCAGGATTTTATTACAGACAGGTCTGCCGTTAAACACAAAATACTTTGCAGGGATCTAACCTGAGATACGAAGAAAAAAAACACACGAATTCACCATCAGATCAGATGTGAGGTCACAAAAATAACTGTGTCCACACCTTTTAATTTCAGTCTTCACATGAAAGTCGTTTTAATGCCATTAGAGCGTTTCGCCCTGGTACAGTCAAGCAAACTTGGCCCCTTATCTTTAGAAGTTGGGTGTTTGTGACTGTAGTGGCAGTAAACTGAGTGTGTGTTTGTGTGTTCAGGCTGTCAGACCTCAGTGGACAAGAGTTCTTCTGGTAGGGTGACCCTTGGTGAGCAGGCAGCAGCCCTACAGAACCCCCATGACCGAGTGATGGCACTGAGGAGGGTGACCGCTGCAGCTCAGGTGCTGCTGGCCAGGACAATGGTGATGAGAGCCTTGTCCCTGCTATCCGTCAGGTAGCCTTTTGTATCTGCTGGAAATACTTTTTTAGCCTAAATAAGATACACAAGCTTTTTTTAGAATTCAGAAATTCATTATGTTCCTGGGTGGGATTGTTAATAAATATGATAATGAGAGTATTCATAATAACAACAGTACATCTATTTCAACCCTTTGGATGAGGTTGTGTATCCATAGATAAAATATTAATTTCAATATTTATGAATTGTGTTTGACAGGTAAACAGAAACCAGAACAATAAGTTAGTTTTTCTCTCTTCTCTCCTTCCACACATTCAGCGGATCAAGCTGCAGCCTCGCAGCAGGTCTAGAGTCCCTTGGTTTGACTGACATTAGGACTCTAGTCAGGCTGATGTGCCTGGCGGCAGCGGGCCGAGCTGGTCTTTCCACCAGTTCGTCCACAGGCCCAGGCCATGCTGAAAGGCCCCGTGGGGCCACCAAGACGAGCAAACCCATCTCCTGCCTGGCTTACCTCAGCACAGCAGTGGGCTGTCTCGCCTCCAACAGTCCCAATGCTGCCAAGCTGCTAGTTCAGTTGTGCACTCAGGTAAAGTATCATCACCCCAGTATCTTCCTGATGACTGATTTGATTTTCAGCTTAGATATTGAAAACACAGTCACTGGGTGATGAGATTCCCCAAATTTGTTCAGTCCAAAAGGAAAAGATTCCTTGTCAAACATACCATTACATCGAAGTTTTATTCTCTCAAATACCGTATGTGGGAATCTACACATGCAGTAACTGACAACTTATGAATCCACATTTTGGTCATTATCAGTTTATACAGAGGTGGTGTGATAAAGTCCACAGAAAGTAAAGAAATGTATGTTGGGTAGATTACTTATTTATTTTAACAATGCTTTTTGACAATGAATAAATCTTATACTATTGGAAAGCCTCTTTATGTCTCATTAAAAGGTGCAACATTAGTAAGGAAATGCATTTGTAGGTTGAGCAGCAGGTGTGGGGTGCAGCTGTGACTTTTGCACAGATTTCATCAAACAGATTATCCACGTCTCCCCTTTCAGCTTTCTTGCACTTTAAAAATGTTGATTGATGTGATGCTTTTCCCCCCTTTTCTTATCCAGAACCTGATCTCTGCGGCTACAGGCATGAATCTGACAACGGTGGACGACCCCATCCAGAGAAAGTTCTTGCCCAGCTTTCTGCGTGGTGTGGCCGAGGAGAACAAGCTGGTCACGTCGCCTAACTTTGTGGTGACTCAGGCCCTTGTGGCCCTCCTGGCAGATAAAGGGGCCAGACTGAGACCTGCTTATGACAAGGCTGATATGGAGAAAAGAGGTTTGTAGACTCTGAGGAAAAGGCCGTTCCATGTCATTTCGTCTGTCATTGTTTCTCTCTTACTTCATGGAATTGATCTTGATTACCTTGAAGTTATATCTCATATTGGTATATTATGATGTTACTTTTTCTTAATATTTAAAGAAAAGTCATTTCAATGTAGTTTGTGTTCACATAAATATACTTTATACTCAGAAGAACAGTGATTCTGTGATGCTCTTATGTTCTTCTGCTTATTCTAAAATGTTCTTCCTGGTGCTGATACCAGTCATACACGTATTCGTTTAATTCATGTAGCAGTGACATAACTCATCTGCTTGTGCCAGTTTCTTCTGTATATTCACATTTTTTGTGCTTTTTGTGTCTTTTCATCGTTGCTCCTTCTTTCACTCACCGGGCATTCTTGTCACTTTGTGTTCCGTGTCGAGCAGGTCTAATTGCGCATTTGTATGCCCATCCTTCCCATAATCCTTCCGCTGTAGGCCCTCTGGAGCTGGCCAACGCTCTGGCAGCTTGTTGCCTGTCCTCACGGCTTTCCTCGCAGCATCGCCAGTGGGGTGCTCAGCAATTAGTTCGCACTCTGGCCGCCCACGACCGCGACAACAACCAGAACCGTCCGCAGACTTTTGCTGACATGGCAGGGGACCTGCGAAAGTGCTCCTTTAACAAACTAGAGGCTCACCAGAGCAGGGTCGGTAGTTTGGTCTTTCTCTGTATTATACAGTCAGGTTGTTTGCACCATTTCTGATTGGTAGTTAAAATAATCCTCCTCTTGTTGCTTCAGGTCATCACATGTGGTTGGTGCAGTAAGAAAGGCCTTTTGGCTACCAGTGGCAATGACGGGACGGTCAGAGTATGGAACGTAACCAAGAGCCAGTACACCCTCCAGCAGACCTGCGTCTTCAATAAGGAGTAAGGTGTTTTTTTTAAGGATCCCACACAGCTAAACAGAGACATCTTGCTGTGATTGGTCCAGTTTGTATTTATTTCCCCCCAATAAATCTTTTTTCTCCATCAGAAACTCAGTTACCAGTTTGAGAATTAAGATGCCTTTTAACGATCCCTGTGGGACAAATGTTTTTGGTTCGTTTCTCAAGGAATCGAACCAACCTGACCTTTGGCAGTTTGCTGAGGCAGGTCCTGAAGGCTCCTGTCCCATGAGCCTCTTTCACAGAATCACACATCATTCCTTACAAAAGAAAAAAATAGTTTTCATCACTGTATAAAGTTCTTTTAGATGAGACTTTAAATAAGTTTGAGTGCTCCCAAACGTGTCAGATACTTCAATACAGTTCTAACTTGGTTTTTTTATCTTATCTTTCACTAGTGACGACTCTTTGGAGGAGGGAATGTCTGGTTTGGGGTCTCCCAGCGATCCTTGCCTGTCACCTCTTGCATGGAGTGTCACTGGAAAGTATCTCGCCTCTGCCATGGAGAAAATGGTCAACATCTGGCAAGTTAATGGTAAAGAGTTCATTTTGTCCAGTCTTCTCTGGGGGTTATTGAATATGTTAATGATGAGCTTCACTGAGTTTTGCAGGACTTGTTTCACTATAATCTGTGGCTCACCTCGTATCACTGGTGACGGAGGCCTGCAGCATATGAATGAGAGGTCTTCTATTAAAAATAAAACTGAATGGTCACCGGATGTGTTCCAGGCATCATTTTCTGCCCCTCACCATACACCTGGCTTTGTGAACCATCTGTCCGGAGCTGTTACTGGGGTTAATAGAAGGTGTAATCACTTTCACCTGGTTTGGTGTTAATGAATTGTCAGCAGGTACACTAGAAGGGCAACAATGAGACAAACCCCCGAAAAAAGGAATGGTTTTACAGGTGGGGGCCACTGAAATTTTAACCTCCTCGTCTTTTTTGACAGTTTTTTTTAACATAATTTTGCATTTGCATAAAAAGAAGCAGTTCATGCTTTCTTATGCTGGGCTCACACTGTGCGATTTTTTTCAGTCGTGCGATTCAGCTCCTGCTCAAACTGCACGATTGACTCGCAGAGGTTAGAAGTTCATAGGTCACGATGCAGGTCTCACACTATACCGCCCGATGCTCTGATGCGACCCGAGTGCTCACCCTGTGCGTCCATAACATGAAGGTTATAACAGAAAATCTGTCGCTCGCTCTCTGTCTTTCACTCACACAGACACACACCACCATCAGCTTTGCTAAACTGCTAATGAAAAACATGATCAGGCAGCTGTGACTGAGCAGCATGTAAATCCAACTGTTTTCACGGTTGTTGTGGTCGTGATAATTTTGTGAGGCCACATCGAAAAGGCTCGGATGAGCTTTCCAAAGTTCTACAAGTTGTGCCTCCATCGCTTGTGTCCAGATCACACGCTGCACAGCCGTGCTGCTCCGTCTTTATCACCGACGTTTATGTGTTTGTGCGTGAGCAGTGTGAGAAGCTGCGGTGACACCCTGAGGTGTTAATCGCTTCTCGTTACCTCACGTATACTACACGACGCACGATGAAGGCCAAAATCGGGCCGATCGCCAAAACGGTCGCACGACTCAAAAATCGGCTCAAAATGGGCCAAAAATCGCACAATGTCAGCCCAGCATTAAAGAAGTTGATACATTGTGGCAACAAAGTCATCATCCATCTCACAGTGAATCTGCAGGGAAGAACGAAAACGACAGCTCACTCCAAGACTGCAGTGTTGGAGTTTGTCCAACTGTATAAGCAGGAAGCTCTCATGTTCCTTCACAGACAGCTGAAAGACATCAGAACCCCTATATAAAATACCTAAAAGGAACATTAAAACCAAGTATACTTGGGCATTTGTCAATATAAGTATGATATATCTTATACAAAATGTCATCATGGATCTGCTTTCATTGTCTCCAAGGTGGTAAAGGGCTTTTGGATGTGCAGCCTCACTGGGTGTCTGCACTAACTTGGCCTGAAGAGGAAGCAGAGTCCTTGTGGTGTGGGGAGCCCAAAGACATGCTGCTGGTGGGTCGAATGGATGGATCACTGGGCCTCATCGAGGTGCTGGACTCTTCTGGTATGCACCGCACAGAGCTGGAACACTGCTACAGGAAAGACGGTATGAGAGTTTTATTTCAGGTTCAACCACATCTTTGATATTTACTTGTGTAACTGAAAGAAAAACCGAAGGTTTTTTTCTCCTTTAGTGGCAATAATGCACATTGCCTGGTACAGTGAAGACAAGCCTTTTGCCGTTGGCTACGCAGATGGAAAGCTGCTGATTGGATCCAAAGAACCTTTGGATAAAGGAGCCATTGTTGTCATTGATGCGCACAAGGTGGAGTAATTTTATCATTCTGTTTATGTTGTGATTCTTTCATTTAAATTTCAAAAAGAGCGAGCTGTTTTACTGTCAGCTAGATGGATTAGATGGACATTTATAGCTGACAGTGATTCCAAATCTTTTTGTCAGGAGTCGATCAGCAGCATGAAGTGGAGTCCAACGGGTCAGATCCTGCTGACGTGTGCTAAAGAGGAGACTGTGAAACTGTGGGCCAATCCAGACTCCTGCTCTGACACGGGCTCTGGCTGGCACTGCCTACAGAGCCTTAGACACCCCTCCTTGGTTAATGGTGTGGCCTGGTGCAGTTTGCCTGGATGCAGTCCGAAGCCCCTCAGCATGTTCGCCGTGTACGTTGACCTTGAATGCGCCCTCTGTTTTGGGTTTTGTGATTTCACTTCTGCCGTTTTTGTTGTTTCTCCACACAAAATGATTATTTTGAGGAAAAAAGGTTTTATGGGTCATTATGCTTTTCAGATGCTGCCAGAATGGTCTGGTCTCTGTCTGGACTGTTCCTCAAGACATTTCAAACTTCACAGACTCCTGTTCCTCTGATTCAGAAGGATGGTGGGAGAATGAAGCCAAACCCAAGTTAATGGTATTTGTGTGTTTTAACTTCTACTGTAAAAGCACTTTAGCCAAAGTCATCCAGTAGCAGCTGAGTTTCTTTTGCTTTATTTTTGAGCAATAAGTTAATGTGTTGTTCAACCTCAATGTACTATCATTGATGTGCAGCAGTCCACCCGATGGTCAGAAGATGGAGCAGTTTGTGTGTTCCAGCTAAAGGGCCACATCACTCCAGTAAGAACACTGGCTTTCAGTCCTGATGGTCTGGCCCTGGCATCTGGAGGAGTGGGAGGCCTCATGAACATCTGGTCCCTGCGGGTAAGAAACATACATATACACACAGATGGAAATGAAGGCACATAGTTCATATGTAAATACTGTAAGTACACACACAGATGACTGGAAATATGTAGATGGAAAGAACACATGACACACACATGTGTGTGTGCGCATGCGCCAACCAGCGTGCAGCCTGTTACAGTCGCTCCTGCTTTTCTCTTAGTTTAGCTCTTTTTTCTTACGTATTCTTTTTTTTT